TAAGAGTTTATTTGAATATCTGTATTTTTGGTCTTCAAGGATTATATACGGGTTTAACCCAATAATAATCTGGAAAATTAACATTACATGCTACTAAACTAATATTCTGAACTGAAATACTTTCTCAAAGATTCTATCAAGAACAACGAATTTACTCAAATGAAATAAAGGAAATAATGCAGTCGAAATTCTGAATGATACAGTAATTACCTTATAAATAATGAATGCCATCTTGTGATGAAATTTTACATTTAAAATTGCTATCTTGTTGTGTTTTGCAAGTATGCTTATTTATGTTAGTCTATAAAATAATTTCAACATAATATCTACAGAACATAACACCCTATTAAGGTATGTGATCATGTAATGCACAGGAACGAGAAAAATCGGTTGATAAATTAGAAAGCAGAATTGTGGATAATTATCATCCACAATTCTAGTTTTAGTACTGCATAACTATTATTGTTTTTAAAATAGATGAAAAAAATGCTATGACCATAGGTTGTTATAAAGTAACCCAGATCCAGGAGCCTCAAGAGAAAAAAAAAATCATCTACTTGTCTTAATTCATATTTTAACAATCACATTTAGGAAATATCACCATCTTTCTAAAGATCTTCCTAATACTTCCAGTCTATGTTATCACACCACATCCTTCTAACAAATTAAGAAGTGAAGGTGGAAACTGTCCATTTGCATGTGTTCAATGTTCAAGGAGATCATAATCACCTCAGCTTTCACATCTCAGGATCATTTTGCTAAGTGTAGTCCTAAATTTAAAATCTACCCTATGTAACCACAATCTTACATGATCTGACCATTTCCTTTCAGAAATTCATTCATTCATTTGTCATGTTAATTCTAGTACAAGTACTTTCACTTACACCAACTTCACCATTTTAAGGCTTTCTTTTTTTTTCCCCTCGTTTTTCTTTAACAATGAAGTTCTGATACTGAATGGAATTATAACCATCTCCAGAGTGATATGTTTTCTTTTTGCATATAACACTGGAAAATCTAAGACTCATTAACCTGTAACTTTATAGTCAACTTTTCCTTTATAAGCCCTAAGAATGTAGAACTAAAATCCTGTCATTAGCACACATGGAACATGTGCTGATTCTGATTACCATTGTACAAAATTAATGAGAAATATAACAGAAAAGGAAGTTTTGATTTTTGCCTCTGAACACAGTACATAAAAGAGTCCTTATGTTTAATCAGACCAAGAAAAGAATGAAAAATTTTAATTAGCCTAATGTTAAAATTAGAATACATGTTTCTTTGCAGAGAGAAGTTCTTCACTTCTTCCAATTCACCACTATTGTTCAAAAATACATTTCCCTGTGTCACAAGGCAGTAAATACATTACTAGACTGATTATAAACTCTGAACATTTAATTCCAGTATCATTGTAGAACCAAGCAATTCCTTTTTAGAATGTACCCAATTTGTTTCATAGGCTCATTAGGGTAGCAAAGAAAAAAATCAATACTCTCACCAACATGTCACATTAATAGGCAAAACAAGTCAATTTTTTTTTTTTAGATCTTTATTTTTATTTATTTATTTTTTTGTGTGGTGCTAAGAATCGAAACCAGTGTCTCATGCGTGTGAGGCAAGCACTCTGCTGCTGAGCCACAACCCCAGCTCAACAAGTCAGTTTTAATGGGTTTAAAAAACTAATTCCCTGATATATTACTACAATCAAGTCATGTTCTCACAGAAGGTAGGCAGGACTTCCATGATACAAATGAGGAAGTCAAACTCCTGAGATAACTCAAATTCCTACAATCATAATGTAAACTGAAGACATAAATTCAATCATAGTAGACCATCAACTGCCTACTAACTAAATTTATTACATCAGTAAACATGTATTCAGCATAAATTTAACCAATTTAAGTTTTTTAAATATATTTTACAGAAAGTTTTTTAAATAATTTTTGAAGATGAACTTAATATCAAATTTAGAACTCAAAACTATATATAATAAACTGCATCTAAAAGAGCAAGATAGTAAATAGATGCAAACAGAGTATATTTAATTTATAAGTTGTAGTGAAATAAAATGGTTAAAATACATTTCTGTTGTGAGAGGCCAGCAGTTTTCAAACAAATGATAAATTCTATTCTCAGCCAAATTAAGAGAAAGATCACTGTCAGCAAAAAAATCTGCTGAGGAATAGCTATCTACATATGGCATTAATTGGAATGAAGGTAATATATTCTTCTATGGCCATGAATGGCATTAATTGGAATGAAGGTAATATATTCCACTCTTTCAAAAAAATATTGGAAAGACTTTAAAATAACAAAAAAGAAAAGAAACCCTGAATCATAGTCCTACCTTAACAGACACATTAAATGCTTTTCTAACTAGGTTGGCTAAAGAAAAAAATCTATTCATCAAAAAACACTTTCTCAATTTCTTTTTTTGTGTGTTTTTGTTTTTAAGAGTTGGAAGAGAGGATGTGTTTGTGTGTGTCGTAGATGGATACAATATCTTTATTTATTTTTATGTGGTGCTGAGGATTTAACCCAGTACCTCATGCAAGCGAGGCAAGTGCTCTACCACTGAGCTATAACCCCAGCCTCTTTCAATTTCTTTTTTATTCTGACTGTATACAAACCCCACAGAATTTGGAAAAGCATAAAAAAGAAATTACACACAATTCTACCACCAAAAGACAACTGTTAACACTATTTCCTCCCTGTCTTCTAAGATTTCTTAGAGTTAAAAACTATACCTTGTAACTTATTATTACATATGGACATGCCCATTATTAAAATTCTATGGGAGTTTTTAAAGTGCTGCTTCTGATTTTTAAATGAGACTTCTTTTCAGGTTATGTGAAGAAATACTAGCCGACCCTGAAACAATCTGCTAGGCTGTTTAAGATTGGCATAAAAGGAATTACATCAGAAATCACACTAGGGTCCTTTTGTGTACAAAATATATTTTAAAAAATTTTAGGAGATTCAAATCCCATAGTTTTCAGATGGCTAGCTTTTAATTCACCAACTTAGTAACTCAAGATTAATAATTCTAATCATTTATGACTATACTTGCTTTTCCCTTTGCAAAACTTTTGAATACTATCATTTCATTTTCATTGAGCTATGAGTGAATTCTCACATACACAATGTTGAAAACTGAGGTGCAAAGGGAATAAATGACTTAACAAAATATACTCAATCAATTTAGCAGAACTAGAAATCAAGTCTTTTAATTACTAGTACCATTTCTATCTGTTTTAATATATATTGATGTTTAAGCTGACACTATAAAAGACATTTGCTGGGATTGTAGCTCAGTGGTAGAGTGCTTGCTTAGCATGTGTGAGGCACTGGGTTCAATCCTCAGCACTACATAAAAATAAATAAAATAAAGGTATTGTGTCCATCTACAACTAAAAAAAATATTTTAAAATGATGCAAAAAATTGATGCTTTTAAAACATAAGGTAATGTTGTATATTCAGTTAATACAGGCATGAGAAATTCTAAAAGCAAGACAGTTGTCTCTTGGGGAGGAGATATGTAACTGACTCCAATACTGCAAGATATTTTTAAAAAACATGATACAAACACTTTCAGATCTAGAAAAAGTAAAACAGTGAAAGCATTCTACTTGTCATATGCTTTTCTGTATCAAGGCACCTCGTATTCCTCCTCGGTTTTCTTACATTGGAAATGGGATAACAATGCCTATCTCACCTGAGGTGAGTATTAAGAGTTAATTTACATAAACGACTTAGTCCTGTGCCAGTCCCAAAGTAAGCTCTTATTAGTGTTAGCCACATATAAGCCATTCCCCTACCATTCCACCAGGAAGGAAATGATGCATAGGGTCTAAAGCTAAAAGGATTTCATGAAACCTTCATGCTAAGCATCTCAATGTTAAGTTACACTATGTAGAAATGGGCCTGTATCTAGAGTTCAGTTTACCAAACATATTTTTTCTTAGACATTGTTTCCACATGCCTGTGAAAATTTCAGCATCTTCTCAATAACAGTCTCTTGGTCCTGATCCCATACGTCACTCAAAGCCACGACAGCAATTAAGCTGGACTTAAACCTGAAGATCAATTAAAATAAAATCCTGTAGGCAATTAGTAACAGTCCAATGCTTATTTTCCTCATTGCAATAAAAAGGGAAATGCAATAAAAAGTCTTCAATAACTGACGCCAAACTGATACAAAAACGATGATACCCTGCCTAAAACAGTACTAAAAATTAAAAAAAAAAAAAACCCTGCATTCTCTTTCCATTATAATGATTATTTAATATACAGTTTTACTCGTTTCTGGCATAGGTTTCTCAAGGATCGTAGATGGAAAAAAAGTTTTGTCACTTTCTGGAAAGGCTTACCCTTTTAATGTGGAACGCTCCATTTGCGCAACATGACAGTTTGGGCCAGTGTTTCACCAAGGCGTCAATATATAGGCAAGGATTATAAAGAACATGTTCTAAATCCAAGACTAAGAAAGAGATCACCACAACCTACTTAATTCCCTTCAGAACCCGGGCACTTTCACAAGGAGCTGATAATTACCATTAGTTGTCTTTAAGGTTTATGATGCTGTTTAATTTCCTTGCTTAGGATCCTACTCTGTCGGTCCATCTGCACAGCTTAACTTCTGGGATCACAAGTCCGAAAGTTCCCTTTCTCCTCCCAAAACAATCTCCCCAGAAGGATCCAATATCAAAGAGGCTTCCATCGCAGGGTCTCACATCGCTCTTTTCAGAGAAATGAATGGCTTGGCCAAAAGTAAAGCCGCACCAACTTGGACGACAGGCTGACAGAGCCCACCTTTCCAATTCAACCTTCCTAGTGCCCAGCTAGGTCTGGCCACGTTCGAGTCGCACCATGCCTCCCCTGCGCTTCTGTAGACGTGTTTAATAGCCAGAAGACCCGGCGCTCAGGAGTAGGCTCCCCACGCGACCCAGTCACCCTAGGAGCTCCGGGAGCCGCGCACTCCTTGGGGACCACTCACCTTGCTGGGCTCCAGCGTCCTCCAGCAGCAAGAGCAGGATAAGTAAGAGGAGGAGGAAAAGAGGCATGGAGGAGGAGGAGTTGGAACCGGGAGGGAGGGAGCAGGAGAGGGGGAGCGGGGCCCAGGCGGGGGCGGCGGCTGCGGCCCGGACTCGGGGACACGGCGGGCTGCGCCCGGCTCTCACCACCGCCCGGCTCGCCATCGCGGCTGCCAGCAGTCCGCCTGCATACTGCGGACGCCCAGCAGCCACGCGCGCCCCGGGGCCGCAGCACCGGGTAAAGAAGCTGCAGCTGCGGCGGGAGAGCGAGAGGCAGAGCACGCCTCACCCCGCGCTAGGACCCCTCCGCCACTCACCCCGCTTTCACCTTCTCCTCCTTCGTCCCTTCCCTCCGCTCCCAGCCCCGAGATCCCAAGCTGGAGCGCAGGGGAGGGGAGGGAAGGAAGCGGAGTGTTCGGGCCGCCTAGAGCGGCCGCGGCGAAGCTGAGGAACGCGCCTTTTACACCGCGCTTCACACCCGGACCGGCTCGCCGCGCTCGCCCGCGGCTCCGGCTAGCTGGCAGGCAGGCCAGCCGCCCGCTCCCTCGAGCTCCCTCTAGCTCGAGCGGTCCACGCCTTCTTGACCCGCCACAACCAATCCACAGTCAATTCCAGTCCGTCTCTTTCTGTACCACCCAATCAGAACGCTCTCTCCTCTGTCGACCCGTTAGCTCCTGGACCCACTCCTCGAGCGCCACCGCCCCTTATCTTCCCCTTCCAATCACCTTCGGCCTTCGGAAGCGTCCCACCCGCCTCCACCAATCCGGGTCCCGCCCCCAAACTCCCCCCCCCCGACCCCGCCCCCGAGAGCCTGTTATTGTTGGGACTGCTGCCCAGAGCGAACCCGCTGAGGCGACCGCTTGCTCTGTTGAATGACTTCCGGGACTTTCCTCATCCCGCTGCTCTCGCTTTCAGCTCCTCAGGCTGGGTTTTCTCATTGCTCCGCCCTCGCAGCACATCAGGCCACTGGAACGGGTGGGAAACCTGGATCCTGGAAGGTTTTAGCTGGGAGCTGAATCTAAAGCAGTTGTGGTTCTGGGGGGTGCGGTTGTTTTGTTGTTGTTTTTAATATCTGAGCTTGTTATTTTTAAAACTGCAGCCAGTTAGTTGTTACAGAAACTCCGAGTTACAATAACAGATGTAGTATTTGATTTTAAAATACGTATTTTCCCGTTGCTATGCCCTTCACTATATGAGGAAAAGGAGTGGGAAAAATAAAAAGTGCAAAACAAGATCCTTGCCATCAAGTCCACTGATACCTAACATCTGGACATTCTTCTAACCATGCTACAAGGAATCGTTGAGCACCTGCTATCTATCTGCAGTCATTGTGCTGAAAGTCCCAGGAGTTGCAGCCATAATGCAGAAATCTTACAGGATCCAGAGTAGAAGACAAATAACAATAAATCATTCAAGTCAGGATGAAATAAATGATAATTAAAGTCACCGATATCTGTTGGAAACTGGGAGCAGAGAATGAGAAAAAGAACCAAGTTTTTGAGAAAGAGGAATCCATATGATTAGGCAGTGATTTTAGAAAGAAGAGAGGTGCCACGCTAATGTTTTAAAGAGGAGAATGGTGTCATTAATAAATACAGAAAGTTAGAATGATGGACTAGGTTGTGTGGGAAAGGAAGTTAATTTAGGGCATGTAATTGGTCCCAACTTACCGTGGTTTAACTTACAATAGTCCAACTCTATTTGTTCACTTTAAATACTGTCAAAGTGATACGTATTCAATAGAAACTATACTTGGAGTTTTGAATTTTAACTTTTTTGCTGGGCAAATAATACACCTTATGATACTGTTTTCTGATGCTTCTAGTTATAACAAGCCACAGCACCCAGTTAGCTACACATTCACAAGGGTAAGCAATTGGTATTCTACAGTGTACTGTGTTTCTCTGTTACAAAGTATGGTGCCTTAAGTGTATTAGTGCATATAATATTTTCAATTTACAATGAATTTCTAGGATGTAACCCATGGTAAGTTATGGAGCATCTGTGTTGAAGTTGAGTTGCCAACTCAGCTAATAAATAAAGCTATATAACAGGTGACCATTTTGACCTAAAAGTCAGATGGATGAGTACTTTGAAATTACAGGTCTGGGAGTCATAAAGAGATATGATGTTCAAAAACAGATGATACTGATATCCTCAACGTAAAACCTGAGTGTTAAAAAGGACTTTGGAAGTCATCTTTTTCAATTCCTTTGCATAGTTCCCAAACAATAAGCTCTTCTACCAAATGTATTCAATAAGTATTTATTGGATACCTAAGAAATACAGCTATGCTCTAGGCTTAACATAGGCATTAGTCAAAAAAAAGTTTAATCAGTGGAGATTTTGTGCTGGTGGAGTTGGCAAACATGTAAGCAAATCCATTGTGCTAAGCTGAAGGTATGGAAGGTTGCCACAACACAGCAGTGGAAGGAGTTCAATGAACCCATCCCAGCCAGTATGAAAACCCAGCTGAATATTGACTAAGAAAGCAAAGTGAGGAAGGTGATCTCAAGCCAGAGACAAAACAGGCTGGATCACAGGCACAGTGCTGATGGGTGTTGATGGTACTGAGTGGAGTTGACAACTGTGGACTTGATGGAAGGAACAGGAGACTAACATGGAAAAGTTTGTAGGGGCAAGACCAGGACTAAGAGTCAGGATTTTATTTTGAAATAAGAATTAAAAAAAAAAAAAGTTTTCTAAGAAAGTGACATTATCAACTTTAATTGTGGAAAACTCAATCATGCAGGAAGATAAGGAATGAATTGGAGTAAGACCACGACTACAAGCCAAGGAGAACCAGTCTGGAGTCAAAGAAAGTGATGGGGAATCTGAACTGCATTAGTCATGAGCTTGGAAAGGAGGTACTGATTGGGGGAATATTTGTGAATTTAGGAACTGATCAGATGTGAGAAATCAGAAGGAATCCTCAGATTTGGAAGGTGATGCCTTTCACACTAGAAGGAATACAAGAAGGGGAACTGGGTTGATTGGATTAGGAAGTAGAAGATATGATGAATTCAGTATTGAACATATCCAACATGATGTGCTAATGTGGCAAGCAGTCCATCATGAACTAAGGCTTCTAGTAATAGGCTCTGAAACAACCCAACTGATTTGTTGGACCAGGCTTCTTCTAGTGCTTTGAGTTCACAAGATGTGGAGGGAGACAGCACAAGGTATTATGCATCACAGGCAGACATAGGGTGACTACATAGAACTAACTGCATCAGGGAATTCACTTGTGAACTAGCACAGGTATGAAAAAAACAAAACTTGGGCCATAACCCCCCCTGACCCCTTGTTAATACAGCCTGAAAAGATTCCCTACCCCTTGATAATACCCCTAAAGCAAGATAAAAGAGCACAAATATTTTCTCATGCACATTTAGTATTCATATTTTAAAGGGTTTTTGAAGTGGAGAATAGAGTGGTGAAGATGTTCTGAAGGAAGTCTGGTCAAGGAAGAAAGAGGGAAGTAAGAGGAAATAAAACACTAAAATCTAAAAGAGTTGGGGACAGATGTCATTTGTTTATTTCTGCATAGTTTTATGCTTCAGTTTCCTGAATTTTGCTTTGGATTTCAGGGTCTGGAACTTTGGCTGGAAAATATCAACTAATTTAAAGGCCTGTGGGGCACCCTATTGCAATATGTACACAGGGAAGTATGTTACAGCATAGATGTGGGAGAGGATTAATGCTATTGCCACCCTTATTCTCCCTCTACTTCTCCTGATCATTGTCCCTCTACCAAGTAACAAAAACAATGGCAGAAGGCTGCTCTGAGATGATCAAAATTATCTCATGGAATTTCACACCAAAGGAGCATAATAGGCATTTATTTCTAGAAAAATAACTGACGGAGTGGAATTCTAGTTTGTATTGCCCCATTTGCTCTCTACATGCTGCTCTAGACAACTTTGTCACCTCTGGGACTTAGTTTATTTGGGAGTTGACATTTGTTGAAGCAGTGGGAACAATACTTGTTCAGGACCATTTTATGCACAAGATCCAGATGCCTAGAGCTGAGAGAGAACTGGTGATTCTAATCAGGACTCAAGGTGGATAAGTTCAAAGGAGCCACCATCATACATCCAGAGGTCCACAGAAGCTAAAGTGCCTCCACAGAGCAAGCCCAAGTCCCAACTCCTTCCTAATTCTGAAAAAAAATATTGGGGCTTCAGAGATTCCCTTGGGGCAAGACCAACAGCAAGTCCAAAGTGAGCAGTTCTTCACTGTGAGTCCATGACAGGCACTCACAGTGAAGAACTGCTCACTGGATTTATAGCAACCGTGTTGACTCCATTTATTTGCTAGTTAGTAAAATTCTTTGGATGTGGTCTCTAGGGAAGCCTGGGGCTTCAGGAAAGGACCACTTGCAATGGTTAAATATGAAATACTAGCAATTAAAATATGTAGCTTTTTAATGTGTTTGTGGTTGCTTACTCCATGTTCATATTTAAAAATAAAAAGACCTTAAATTTTAACTCACCAGACCTTTCTCTCTTTTTGTCTTTTCTCAATTTCTTTCCCTCTCTTTCTCTTCTGTTTATTTCAATAAAGAATTGATTAAATAAGAGTAGAGAAATAGAAAACATGGAATTGATCTATAGAGAAAAGGAGAGATATGAAAAAAGGAGAATTATATCCCACAATTTCTGCTTTCAAATGAATTCCAGCTCAGTCAAGTGCTAAGGAAATAGAATGGAGGAAAAACCCCTGGGGCTGGTGCCTCTGCTTCTGTCAGTGCAGAGACATCTGGGTTTTAATGGTATGATATGGTAAGAATCATTTGGCACCATAGTTGCTATTAAATGTCTGTTAAGCATTAATAAAACAGAAGAGGCTCATTTAAAATGGCATTTATACTGGAAACCTGAGGATGATGGTATGTAATGAATCACTGGTGGGCTTCATCAGTAAGTGTATATTTTTGGCAGGATAACAGAAAGAGGGAACATAGGAGAATTTACTTTTGTGATCTTCGAAAGGGATGAGAAAGAAGACTGCACAAGTTCTGGGGAAATATTTCAAATTTCAAAGACCGGAGCCCTAAGATCTGGTTACTATTCTCACAGGAGCATTTTCTTTGTCCTGTTGACGGGACAAATGTTTATAGTCCAGTTTGTTGCTAAAAGTCTGAATTCTGCTGAAGAGACTTTCTTCCCTTGTTATCAGAGGTGGTTTGGATACATTTTTCTTTGTCTTATGAACTCCTTTCAGCAAATCATTTTAGTCAAA